AATTCAATTGCTTTTGTATTGGCACTAGCATTATCTAATGTTATAGCCATTACTTTATCTCTTAATCTAAATTCATCAATTACATTTAAAATTGTGTTATATATTAAATCCGCGCTATGTGATCCTAGAACACATTTAAAACCTAATATTCTCTTATCTAAATCAAATCCTTTAAAGTAATGTCCGGTTACAGCTAAATAATTCAATTTAGACGCAGACGCAGACGCAGACGCAGTCGCACTCGCTGCTTCTCCACGCCCACCACCATTATTGCGACCACGACCTCCAGTACGTCCACCATGGCTCGGATTAGTAGATTCCTGCGTAACAAACTCATTAGTGGGAAATTGCCCTTCTCCTACACTGTGTTGGGCATCAACGGGAATACCACTATAACCAAAAGGATCCATTATAAAAAAATAAGATGGATTTGAGAGAGAGAGCTTTAGGATAATGTGATAGTTTTTAAAAAAATTATGAGAGAGAGTGAGAGAAATTGAGAGAGATTGAGAGAGATTGAGAGAAATTGAGAGAGATTGAGAGGGATTGAGAGAGTTTGAGTAAGAAAAATGTGTGGGGGATGAGGGGTATTTATAGGGAAATTTTGGGGTTAAAAATGATTTTTTTTTAAAAAAAATCGGGATAAACGGCTATTTTTTATTTTTGGGCAGTCGGGCACTCGGGCAGTTTCGGGCAGTTTGGGTTTTCGGGTAAAATTCAAAAAACTAGCCGTTTCGGGTAATTCGGGCAGTCGGGCACCTCGGGCAGGTCGGGTTTCGGGCAGAATTCGGGCAAAAATTCAAAAAATTAGCCGTTTTCGGGTAATTCGGGCAGTCGGGCACCTCGGGCAGTTCGGGCACCTTGGGTTTTTGGGTAGAATTCGGGCAAAATTCAAAAAAAGTAGCCGTTACGTGCATTCGGGCATTTTTCGGGTCGGGCAATCGGGCATGATCGGAAAAATTCAAAAAAATTACGGCGGATGGCAGTAAACGGCGGCGGGCAAAAGAGAAGATGCAAAATTTAGGCTGCCGAGCCCGAACCCGAAAATCAACTTTGGGCGGACGGGAAATGAGCTTGCCCACCCGAGCCCAAAAAAATCCAGGCTTCGAGCAGCCCGCCGACCTGAACTTCCAGCATTGCCCACACATGCCAACTGCTATTTAGAGCATTTGGTGGAACTGACGTGACATGCTTTCATCAAAGATTAGGACCCGTTATTACATCCACCAACGATCATTCTTATTAGCATTCAGGACAGCCCCCTTTTGTAACACGGAGGGGTTATGTTAACTGTTAAGTTTAAAACAGGGGCAAAGAAGAAAATTAGAAATATGAGTTAATAATGTTGGATGTCCCAAAATATTTTAAGTGATTGACTGTTGGGTCCCAAACTAATTTTACAAATATATATATATATATATATATAATTGCAGAATATGATGATTTCCACTTAATTTATGATTGGTTTAGGTCACGTGAGAAACATATGACTCAGTTTTAAAAGGTAAAATTGTACTTTCCGAATTTAAGACATAGAACAATTTTAGTACAACATATTTTGTTGACCCTTGATTGATTTTTTTTTTTTGGTATTAATAGAATGAGAGATTTTTTAATACGTCTGGCGTACTGATAGATTAAATTTTTTTACGTATTTAATGTAAATTTAACGGACAAAAAACTTAATATATCGGTATATTAATGTACCGAAAAAGGTCTCTAATAGAAATCCAAAAGTCTGGAAATGACAAAATCTTAGGGCCCGTTTGTTTGCGTTTTCGTTTTTCACGGTTTTCAAAGCAAAAAAATGAAAACGGGTGTTAAAAACGTGTTTGGTGCAATTTTTTTTAAAAAACAAAACCAAAAACGTTTTTGTCTTTTTGTGGAAATCAGAAAACGAAAAAAA